AGTTATATATATATATATATATATTCCAGAGAAAATAATTTATTTAGATAAAAATAGAAATTTGTTATTGCTGTTAATATAGAGAAAGTTACTATTTTTGTATTAAAACATTTATTGGATTATTATTTAAAAACTAAGTCAAACAAAAAATAATCATAATAATAGTTATATTTTGATAGAAATGTTTTATCACTATTCATAACAGAATTTGATAAAATTTGATACTGCAAAACCAGTACAGAGGAGAAATTTATATCTCCGCTTTTTTTCACCATATCGCGTAAGCTCAGTGGTAAAACCTGTACATTACAAATAAAATATCATTTCGTGAACGACAAAACAATATTTCTGTTATCACCTCGGTAGTTTAATGGCTTAGGATGCTTGTACGAAATACAAAAGATCCGGGTTCGACTCCCGGCCGAGGTAATATTTTTCGCAATAAATTTATTTACAGTTTTTCAACACATTAACATCTTGCTAATATGATGCCGTGCATCAAAATTGTCAATTAATTTTTGTCAATTAATTTAATTCGTATTATTCCAGTAGTTTAATTATATTTATAAGTCTGAAAAACCAAATTCGGTGTGCAGTTTGAAGGACTACAAATATGGTATATATGCAAGATATAGTATATATATAATTCACATTAAACATTATTTAAAAGCATTAAAAGATCTAGCTTCGACCGGTATAGGCTTCCAGTTTATCGATCGTGTTCTCATATATACGGTCTAGAAATGAGATTTTTATTGTTAATATTTCTATTAATTTTTTTTTTTTTCTAAAAAATAAGTAAAATAATTAAATTTCTATTTGAATAAATAACATACCAATATATAGTACAAATTTTATTAATAAAGTGTACACTTTTGTACATGTACAAAAAATAACTGTTAAAAGAGAAATTGATTCAATAAATTTTACTCTTATCTCTTGGGTGCACCATAAGCATCCGGCATTCTTTCTATTGTAAATCTATGCTGAGATATGTACATTATTGGCACACCTGGTATCTTCCGAATTCTTCTTTTCAAATCTTTATCATTTGTTGCAACAATATAACATTTATGCTGAAATAATAATACAACGCACATAATTTTTTTATTTATACCAATCACAATTAAGTAAATTTATATTATCAAAAAAATTATTGTACACAATAAAATTCTATAGTCTGTACTTACTTGTGTTACTCTGTTTACAAGACAATCATCTGCATAGGTTCCCTTATGCATACATTTTAATCTTTCGAATCGCGAATCCTTGATAATTTTCAATGCCAATTTATACTTTTGTCCAAGCTTCTCCAACTCACCCATTACACAATCAGTTATATATGGTATACACTTTGCATAGAGACATTCCATCATGTTTTCTATTATATCTAATTTATTTTTAATAGAAAAGTTAATAAAGTTTGTGTCAATTAAAATATGGTATGGTGGTCCAAGTTGTGTGTTATATTGAAAGAATAATGCAGAGGATTGCTGTGGCCTGAAAGAAAAAAGTACCTCATAGTTTCAAAAAAAGTATAAAAACATGTTTTATAATGAATAATAATTTCATAATATCAAATGCAAAAATATTTATGTTAAAAATAATATAAAATATCAATTTATAACATTACTTACGTTTCTGTAACTTTTATTTTAGTCTTATCCTCTTTCGGAGTTTTCTTCGATGGCAATCGCTTTTCTGGCTTTCTATAAAAAGAAATTCATTTTAATTCTTTTCACAATTTATAAAATAATAATGATTTGTCAAAGATCATATGGGATATCAACTTACATTCGTGAATCACTCAGACTAATCATCCTTTTCATTTGAGCAAATCTCTGCATTACAACTTTACGCGTTTTCTTATTTTTCCCCTGTAACATAATTTCAACGAATGTTGTACAGACCATGTTCATATATTACTGCCAGTTGTTAGTACAGTATAGTATACGTAATGGGAACTACTTATAGTCCTTAGGCCAGAATCAGACTAGGCATTAAAGATTGAGATTGAAGATTGAAAGATTGAAATTTGACCAATCAAAACAATAAGAGCTAAAATTCCTTTGCCCTCATTAGTCAAATTTCAATCTTCAATCTTCGATCTTAATCTTTAATGCGTAGTCTGATTCCGGCCTTATAGACTTTCAGTTTATAGTCCTTATAGACTGGCAGTAATATACAAACATGATCACAAATACTATTTAACAATATGATTATATTATCACTATATTATGACGATACATTCATTTAAATTAAAGTACAATTGTGTCATATTTTTATCATATTAAAGATTTATCAATAATAACCTCCAAAAATACAAAATTAAACAATCAAATATATATACATATATTAACGTTAATTAAAAAAAGATCTTACCATTATTTCTTATAGACGTTTTCTAAACTGATCAATTACTCCGAAGAATTCTGCATGAAAAGCATTAAGCACATGTAAACATTGCAAACGACGACGAATAGGATTAGGTTAGAATACAGACCCTCTAGTATTTTCTGATACTATCGATAAAATCGTCGAAAGTAGATGTGGTTCGTGTCTGTACTAAATCCTCAGCTCAGGGCTGCGTTCAAGATAAAGGCTGCGTTTACACCGTGCGCTTAGTCTGCGACCTATACGATAGGTGTCTTTGTTTAATATACAGGATAAACAAGAACGTCTATTGTATAGGCCGCGGCCTAAATGCACAGTATAAACGTAGTCAAAATCTGCAGAGAGAAACCTGAGACTCGAAAGTGGATATCCCGGCCTTTTTCATGTACCAAACCTCGTAGGGTAATGTCCACGTTTTTGTAATTCTTTTCCGTATTACGTGGATTAGACAAAGATGAATAATCAACTTTGATTGACTAATGTTCTACATTATTTATAATCTGTAAATACTAATCACAATAACACACCGTCAGTATTTGTTGGTCAGTATTATTGATCGTGTGAGAGATCTTTATGACATAATAACTTATTTCTTCCAGATTTAGAGAGCCTTTTAAGAAAAGGCTTTCCAGATCAAAATTTATATAAATAAGAAATATATGTTTTATAAAATATCATTTCTTTTATTCATTTTACTGTCGAGTATTGTCTGTACAAGCAATTCTTAATACATTAATGCCGCTTATTAATAAAGGTATTTACATTATGTATTACATATCGTTTTTTTTATATATCGTTAACCTTTATTAATTACATTTATAATTAATAATTCAATAACATTTATTCATTTTCTCTTGCGAAATACGAATGATAATGATTATTTATGTAATACTTATATCAATAGATTTTTCTACTTGCACAATTTTGTACATTTGCATAAGTTTTACAAATCAAAAACACATTTCTGCTTAAAAGTATTATATTTGTCTCAATTTTTGTACATATCTTTTTTATACGCCTAAATCACGTTTTAATTCTACTATAGGAGATAGAGTGAGCAAATACTTTTATCTATCATGTTTATCAACATAAAAAAGAATATTCAGTTTTCCGATTACATCAATCATTTATATATTTTATGTTTATGAATAGTATCGTATTAGTCTTTTGGATACTTTGCACATGTCATTATCCAGTCAAAATACATGCGTACATTTTTTTAAATTGTCGCATACTAATATGTGAGTATAAATTATTTCTCTCTGTTTTTATTCATCATTTAGACGTTTATGATATTATAATCTCTCATATTATAGACGAGTTGTCATTAATAAGTGTAATTTGATTTAAATGTGTATTTAACAACACATCTGCACACACCAAAGAGCAGTTTTGTTTCTTAAGCACATAAAATATCTCTTCGTTGAAGAGAAATGAAGATACGTAACACCCACTATTGTAGGCTTTGATGTGCTTAACCAACTGCTGCATCTTATATAAGTTTATTCACCTCGTTTTAATAACGAAGTCTATGTCCTTCAAAAGAGTTACGCTGAATCTTCCACCTGAATGCAAATGCACCAGATGATATCTGGGATTCGAACTGCAATTTGACATTTTCTCAAAGACACGTAATGTGTCTTTGGACTTCGACAAATTCCACTTAGGAGTATCAGGATATTGTTCTGTAATCAAAATTGTTAGAACATCGTCCTAGTATACGAAGTTTCCAACTTTTCGTGATGTATGTATACGTGGTGTGAAATCCAAATCATATTCTCAATATGATACAAACTAAAAGTTGTATTTTGTTTTGCACGCAAAACTAACACGTATCGCAAAATATTACAAAAAAAATTGAATCCATCACGAATATTTTCCAGTCGAATAATTCATACTCACATAATGTAAGTGAGATCTGTTTCACCTAATACATGCCTAGTGTTTTATAGACGCACAAAATATGTATCCTATGATACTATTTACCATTTATAAAAAGCCATTTAATTGCGATGTATATGTATCGATATATATGCGAAGTAATAATTCTGAGAAATTGTTTGGTTATACTTTCTACAAAGTTATATCATTTATCTTCTTAAAGATAGTTGTTACTTAAAGAAGTTGTACATCATTTGTTATTGTACGTCACTAAAATATTCTATTAATTGAATTATTATACCTGAGACTTTCTATAAATTTAAGCATATATGCGAAAATCTGACTTTTATCTGTGCGCATGATAAAATTCAGTTAACAGAGCATATAAATAATTCTACATTTGAGAAATCGAATAATTTTAGATATATAAAAGGAACAGAGTATCTTTCTTTCATTTAATCTTTTAGATGCAATCTGTAAACGTAAAATGTAACTGTACGGTGTTAGATAATTTAGATGCAATCTGTAAACGTAAAATGTAACTATACAGTGTTAGATATAAATAATTACAGAGAATACTTTTGTTACAGGTACACTAACTGAGAGATCTTTTTCTCTTCAGAGAAATACTTTTTGATTTTTTATGTGTGAAATATACAGGGTAGCAAAATATTACATGCTCCTTTTATTTATCAAATTTTCAAGCTTTGGTAATTCTATATCATTTGTATACTAATTTTGTTAAAAATAAATTTATCATATGCAAATCTATGACACTTCGTGCGCCACTTTGTATACATGTACAGTATAGAATCTAGCTTTCTTTTATAATATATAAATCGTTTCTATAAAATCTCTTATGTTTTTACATTTTTTAAAAATAAAAAGTATCAATACTTCTTTTTTACCTGTTCTGTAAATTTAGTTTAAAAAAATTTAATTTATATATATATATGTATATATATAAAATATATTGAAGATACATGAAGTATTGACGAATCGGCAATATAAAAACGCTAATATGTGAAACATAAACTTTTCTTTATATTCATACTTCATACTTTCGACGAAATGAAAGAATTTGTACTTTAGAATAGAGCTGGGATTTAGTTGCACATTTCGGCCGATTTTCAGCTTAGTTCCTGCCGATCGGCACTTAGGTTACGCGCGGATTGATGAGATAAGGGGCAGGAACCAAGCTGAAAATCGGCCGAAATGTGCAACTAAGTCCCAACTCTGCTTTATAACCTATATTGCAAACGCTTATAAATGTGTGATAAGAAATAATTATATAATTAAAATTGTAAAGAAAAAGCTCAACCGTTTTAAATAACAATATACAAAGGAAAGAGCTGCAAGTCAATGACAATTATATATAGTTAATAGAAGAGATAGAAACGTTTGTTTATTTATTATATATAATTGTCATTGGCTTGTAGCTCTTTCCTTTTTATATTGTTAAATAATTATGTTTTCATACCAAATAATATGTAATAATGTTTTTACATATCAAAAAATATCAAAATCTGACAATTGAACGTTTGTAAAAAAATATTACTTGTTATATATGTAGAATCACTACGATATTTCTGTATTAATCATCATATATCAAGAATTCGCTTTGTTTTGCTTTCAGATGCATATTATAATCTATATTTTAATTTATACATAGTATACTTATCAATTAACAGCACCAACGAAAAAATACAAATTACTATTTTAAAGAAATAAAAATTTTTGGGAATATTCAGTTAGTCACTTTCATCATATGATGATGAGTGATTTCATACATCATACACACACATGCCCAAAAATTTTTATTTTATTACAATTTTAATGATATTTATATTTTAAATCAATTCCAACTATTTGTAACATACTACCAACTATTTCTAACTATTCCTAACATTTACAATTATATTGTAAGCTTTCACAAAACACAATTTTTCAGAAAAAAAAAACTGATATATAATTTGTTACAATTTTCATTATAGTGCTGTCAAATATAAATATGTATACATATACATATTGTGTCTATATATATATATATACACACACACACATACATATATATATACATACTATATATGAAATTTGTCAAAAATCATAATAAAAAATGTGAGTATATTGTTCTTATCAGTGACAAGAACATAACAGTTGAACGAGCATCGTCATTGATATATCCATATAGATTTAGAAATATAAAGGCCTACTCTAATCACAGGCAATAATTACTAAGTGCTTATTCAAATGTTGTGTCCGCAGTCAATGATCTTTTTTACTGACCATATCTTTCTTACTGATGATATTTCTTATTAATCATATGATATTGAAATTGTAATTTCAATCAAAATTATGATTTTTAACAACTTTCTTGAGGATATACTGTATGCAATATTTCATAAGTTCATTATAAACAAAACAAGACGATTCTGTATACGATTCTAAAGTATTTTTCTAATAGAGTTATAATGTAGCTTTTAATATAAATTACTTTTTCTAGTACTTTTCTTTCTTCGCAAAAATTAATAATTATTCTTCGTTGCAAAAATACAAAACTGGCAAGTAACATAAATATCCAGATGCTCTATTTCGATATCCTATATCAAAATAAATATACCCGTGGAAACAAATGCAATATAAATGAAATGAAATGAAATGGAGTTTGATTTTCACAAGAAGCTTGAACTTTTCTTACAAGTTATTATCACAGTTATGAATTTTCTTACTCACATATGTTTACTTTGTAAACGCTTGTGATGGTATCTGTTCACGATTTAAAATAAAAGCAGAGACTGCATTGTCATAGTTCCACTGAGTATCTTGTAAGCATTTCAAGCTCCATTCCAGATTCATATTTGTCTGTTGACTTAACGTTAATGTCATCTGCTGCTTCATTTCGTCATTGGGCTCCGTTGCCACGGGATTCGTTACTTCTACGGAACTCAGGGCTGGCGTTTCCGATTGGATTTGTTGATTTTCTAACTGATTTAGTTGCTGGTGCAGTTGGTTTAATTGCGACTCAGGCAGCTGACTAATATGCAACTGCTCATTCTGAATACAATACCCTTCATCCTTCGGAACAATTATAAATGTTCGGTTGAAATAGTGGATAGGTTCTTCCTTGTTATCAAGTTGAACGTAGCCTGTTATTGTAATGAACATCATTGTTTGCTGTGGTTAAATAAAAAATAAATTATAAGTCTATCTTTGTTTCTTATATATCTCTTTATCTTTTATATAATGTATAATACACAACAGTATATGGCCACTCGTAGTAACAAATAGCTACTTACTGTAGCAAGAGAGATGTCCATGGTAAAAGTACTCAACAGATGCTTTGTTCGTGGAATTTCTGATATAAAAGAAACTACAGGTAATCTACCCTGTTTCAAAAATTTCTGTCTTCTGACCGTATCGTTTATTTTGAATAGGTTTCGATTCTCTAAATGATACCCATTTAATCTGAAAAATAATTTTAGTTCAATAATTTCTAATTGTACCATCACTCAATACTAAAAATGTTAAGAATATATTCATAATACAAAAATACTTGAAACGATTCTCTAATCTTTTCACATAATATAGGAACTTCATCAAATATTAAAAATAAGTTTATAATTAATATGTAAACATTCATAAATTTTTTTCAAATTTTATAGTATAATTTTCCTTAATCTTCTACAATAGCTTAAATCTTATGAAATGGAAGGTTTTAAGTAATTTAATCGCGAACAAAATATAAAAATTTTGGAAAACTATATTCATGTGAAGGAATGAAGTTGAAAAAATTATTGGAATTAAAAAAATAAAATTTCGGCGTATCATTTTCATATTAGAATATGAAATATTTATAAATTATTCTGTTTATAGATTACATATTGAGCAATGTAACCTCAATGTCGATTAATTAACAACATAGAAAATAAATCAACATTCCTTCATTTTTTACTTACAGCTACTTCCTTTTATCATTTAAGCTCTATTGCGAAATTTATATTTTATTCCCATTATTTATTATTTAAAAGATGTAAATGACCAAAAATTTCTGTGTGTTAAAAGATGAAAAGAGTTATGAAACTCCTTTCTACTTTTTTAAATGGAGAATTTCGTTAAAGAAAAAATAAAGCATTGCAACGTTGCACAAATACTCACTTGTTATTATGAGAAATGCTTATTGTCATGCTGAAGCATGCATGTTCGTCATATGCGTCCAGTAGAGGTTGACGATTCTCACTATCGAATACTGTAAAATATAATAATAAAAATCGCTTAGCGATTTCTTGTACTTTTACATCGACAGCGACAAACATCTTCTGTGATAGAGGAATGTTGGCATCTTCATCAACTATATCGAAGACAATCGGTCGTGGTAATTCTGTGCCATCCTGTTCAATAACATAATAAAAAATTATGTTACATGAGAAAAGAGATTTCAATTATGAATATATAACAGTATGCATGATATACTCACCAGAAACAGTAATCTTGGGAATCGTCTTCGAATATCTCTATAATTAAAAAGGAAAGTTCACTTGGTTCAAATAACAAAAACACAAAGCTTTATTAAATAACAGAAACAGATATAAATTGTTTACTTGAAATTAAAAAATTAAAGTTTTTTTAAATAAAAAAACTTGTAATTTAATGATAAATTTTACACATTTGTGTGTGTGTGTGTGTATGTGTTATTAAACAGAACATTTACTTTTATATATGTAATAATAAATGTTCTATTTAATGTATCATATAGTAAACGTTGTTTAATTTAATGGAGAATTAAGCTTAATTTAAAAAAGATTACTTGAAAGTTTTCAAAATAAATATAACATGATCTCTGTCGAAATACCATCTCACGAATAGAGATTAGCAGATTATTTTTAATACTTCTTGTGAAATTTAATACTTCTCAGTAAAAGAAAAGATTACGTTGAAAAAATACATTACCTAACGTAGTCATTTTGTCGAGATTTATACTTGTTACAGACAGGATTTCCAGATAACTTCAATTCGTTTAGTTTTAGGTCCTTAATAGCATCTAGTTGATAAATATCTCTAATCTAGAATATGCAATTAACTTAAGGTTATTAAAACCGAATATTATGTTGATGATTATGTTATAGGTATATATTCTCTTATTTATCTAAACTCACCTTATTATCACCCATATGAAGAATCTTCAATTTTAAGAATTTCTTGGTTAGCATACTGAGTCTCTCAACATTCTGCAGCTTATTTCCTTCCAAATTCAAAGCTTCTAAATTCGGTATGTGCTCCGCCATAATATCCAATACAGTCATCATCATAACAGGATAGGACAGTGCATAAAAATAATCAGAGCAAAGATCTGTAAGATAAATACATGTATGTTAAAACCTCTAAATTACATTAACTAATATTAATTATTATATTATCATCTTCATTATATTTATAGTTTCATAACTTTTTATTCTTACCAGAATCAAGATGAAACTTGGACAAATCCAAAGCCTTGGTGTCTTGTCTATATCTCTTAGCCATTGCTTGCTTCAATCGTTCCTTTACTTCGTCATCAATATCGCAGACTGGAAATTCTGGTTTTACCTTCACTCGCAGTTTAAATCCATTACTCATCGTAATTTTTCGATCACACTTTAGCAATGCATTCGCTATCTTATGATCGTCTATGTAGAAACAAGCGTCAATTCTTGTTTTTTTGTACTGCGAATAAATTTTTGCTTTAGTTACAAGGTTCATGGTTTTTAACTGATTTTTATTTACATATGTACATCTATTACTATATATGATTTGAATTTTATTGATATTTATCCATATGTCGTATTAAGAAATGATTAGAGACATTAAGACATGTATTAAATAAAAAATATAGATTTCTCCTAAAAAAGACATATCACGTACCATTATAGGAACGAATACTTTAGGTGCCATATAATTCAAAAGGGTATTTATAATATAATCCCTTTCATACTTATGGCCGTATGGTATCTGTAAAATACAAATAGAAATTTATTTCACATCTATATACACATACTTGAGTACTGATACTTGAGTATGATTTATAATTACAGAAATATACTTACATTAATTCTATACCCATTGGATTCTTTCAAAAAAAAAGGTTGCATCCTAGAATTTGATTGATCTCCCTTAAAATTCCTTCCTTGAATCCCTTGAAATTGAACTCCCTTGAAATTGGGCACAGGACTGTTTCCTCCATGATAAACAGTACGCCAAATTCTATCACCTCTTTCTCTATCTCTCTGGTTGATTATCATTTGTCTCGTATTGTTATTAGAAGTCATCGAAATGTCGTTGTCCAAATTCGCAAATGCCAAATTATGTGATATTAGATTGTTTGGTCTATGAATCCTGAACGATACATGATGCTTGATGGGACCAACATGAAATCTTCTATCTCTTCCTACAGGTCTTCCTACTTGATTATTATAATCTAAAAATAGATAATAGAATAAAGCAGTAAAATTATAAAAAAATGATTATTTTTATCATGAAACATTCATTTCGAACAAAATTCATCTCTTTAATATTCAGCGATTGTTGATTATTACTCTTCATAAAGTTTTCACAATCTGAAAAATTCATAATAATTGTGTAGATAACCTTGGAATAACACAGTAGTTATATACATACACATATATATATATATATATAGGTTTGTATAAAATATCTTTATATAGTGCTTAAATCTTATTATTGTATTACTATTATTATCATTATTATTATTATTATTATCATTATACAAGTGTTAGAAAAATTAGATGCAACATAAAATAGCAGTACAAAAAGAATATCAAATATATTTCAAAATTCTTGAATCACATGTTAAAAAATTGCGTAAGTGCAGTGATAAATATAAAAATTTTTGCAATTATCTGACCATACTTAATCTTATATTCACAATGCTTAATGTGACCATTTTCAGATCTAAAACAACTTTATGTTTGGGGGGAGGAATATAAGAGAATGTGTATTTATAAATATAAAGATAAAAATAAATTTATTTTTAAATAATAATTATTTATATTTTGATATCAAACAATCATTTCGAAAGGTGTCTTGTAAATTCTTTAATATAATTGGTCTTGTCCTTTCTTATTGGAACTCTAAACCAATTGTAGAAAGAAACTTACAATTGCAAAGCTACTTTTTCTGCTGATCGCAGTCAATGAACAAATGCTAGAAATTGGTCGGAGATCTTTAACAGAAAAATAATTAATTTTTTTTTTTAAATTCACTGATTGGTGAGAATTTAACACCTTCAATTTCTCCTTGAAATAGGACGGGAGATATTAAATATTTTGATAAATTATTCCTTTTAAAATAACTTTGCCCATCTTTTAAATAATTTAAATCATTAAGCTGAAATTCTCTTATTCTTTAATTCACAGTATATTCCAATTTCTTAATCATGCACATGAAATTAAACTTTGAATTCAGAAATCTGGAAACTCGTCTGGCCGATCTTGCAACATGTAAAGTCACATGTTGTCCACGCCAAAGAATTGATCCATCGCACTAATTAATCAGCCGATTTGAATTAATCAATCATATTTAAATTGTTCAAATGTGATTTATTAATTCTTTCTCCATTAAAGATCTCAGAACGATTTCTATCACCATGTGATAAAGTATCTATATTATATATCTTGACGAAATTATCTGTACTTTTGATATGAAAAACAAATTCAATGCTTTTTTTCTCGAGTAGTTCTTTTCCATGTATCGCTCAACTGATTTTATCAATCCGCGTGGTCAAAAAGCATGTAAAAATAAATCACATAAATCTTTGTTTTTTCTCATCAACAGTCTCGCGAATAAAAAAAAGATGCGAGCAAACGAATGTTAAGAGATATGCAGGAATTATCTGCATGACATGGATGTCGAAGACACAGGACGGACATTGTTGAAGGGTAATTATTTAGAATACCCCCCCACCTAAAATCTTAATAAAAAATATACTCATTCGACGCGTTTTCACTCAAAACGAAAGAATCTGGCAAAAAAAAAAACGCGGCGGTCGGCCTCGTGAATCGAGTTATTAAGCGTCAAAGTTCGAGACTTTAGAGGTTAAGATATCTGTTATTCCGACTTAATATAGCGCTATATATACGTTCTGCTTTAATTACACAAATTCTCTGCTTTATAGACACAAATTCACTGCTTTAAAAGCAGAAAAACGCAGCAGTCAGTCATATGGATCGAGTTATTAAGCGTTAAAGTTCGAGATTTTAGAGATTAAGATATCTGCGTCAACTACGGTTGCCAGGTTTCCAGATTTCGACTGGAGACTCGTTTTCTGCTGGAGAACTGGACCAATCTCCAGTTCTCCAGCAGATGGGAAAAATCTCCAGTTTTTCGCTAGTGCGAGATATTTATTAATTGCATTCAAATTACGTGGAAAGTAATAAGAAAGTCTGTGATTATGTTCGCAGTTTTGTTATTTTACGAATAATAAAAAAGTTTGTAATTGTGTTCGTACTGTACGCATAAATCTTGTAATAATAATAAGGTCTCTGTGATTGTGATGATACTTTATGTTGGGCAAATATTAATAACAAAAGGCAATAACAAAAGGCAATAACAATCGGCCGGTCTCCAGTCGAAATATGAAATCTCCAGCGGAGGGACCTGGCAACCGTTGCGTATGGAATCATCCCGATTCGATACAACTTTATATATATACGTTCTGCTTTAATTATACAAGTTCACTGCTTTAAAAACACAAATTCATTGCTTTACAAACACAAATTCATTGCTTTAAAAACAAAAATTCACTGCTTTCAGCACACAAATTCTTTGCATTAGCAGTGAATGTGTTTTTAAAGCAGTGAATTTGTGTTTGTGAAGCAGAGAATTTGTTTTTAAAGCAGTGAATTTGTGTAATTAAAGCAGAACGTATACATAGCGCTATATTCAGTCGGGATAACAGATATCTTAACCTCTGAAGTCTCCAACTTTAACGCATAACTCGATTCACGAGGCCGACCACTGCGTTTTTCTGCCAGATTCTTTCATTTTGAGTGAAAACGCGTCGAATGAGTATATTTTTATTAAGATCTTAGGAGAGGGAAATATTCTAAATAATTACCCCTTATTGTTCATGAAATATTAAAGAATAAAATTATGCGTAAAATGGAACTCTTGGACGTACATCCCAAATCATACGTAACGGATAAAAAGGCTGAAGAAGGTACTCACTGAAGTAAGTCTTGTCCTCGTGTCGGTTATTGCGACCGTCCCACGGCTTGATCATCTCCTTCGGCATTTTCTTTTTTCGATTTGCGTTCTTCTTTTATTTTTTTATTAAGAGAACAAGCGAAAGCTCTTTTAGCTCGCACGTGCAAACTCGCACAATTTTTACTTCACGATACGTATCTTTTAAAGATAAATAGCTGAAGAATAATTTGCACCAACCTACTCATACTCTTTAACTTCGCTTATCCTAAACACACCGACTTAAGCCCAGTGTCCACGATGCTAGAAATCCGTCCGAGATCTCGGATGAAGAAAGAATTGACCAATCGCATTGATCGTGTGACTAAATTGTTTAAATGTGATTGGTTAATTCTTTCTCTCTCCGAGATCTCGGACCAATAGCTGCGTTCAGCAGACTCAACAGTTTTGCAACCGTTTTATGATTGGCTGCGTTCAGCAGAGAAAGCAGCTTTGCAACTGTTGTAAAATTCTTCAATA